GTCTGAAAGTTGGGACAGTCCCAGAAAATCTAAGCTGATGGCCGTCATGCCATTATTACACATTTGCCATCTAATTAGGGGTGCACCCTGTCAGGGGGGGAAAAAAAAAGCAACTTCACATGTAATATACACGCAAATCATGTTTCACTTTTCCGGTCTTACATTCCTTTTCCATGCCTAAAACACAATCAAACAATTATTTGCTGAAAGTCCCGTGTGGTCTGGGCAACAGAAGTGGGTATTTAAGCCATGTCCAGGTGAATCTGCTGTTTCAGGGCTGCCACAAGGCTTCAGTCCTTTATGAGGTACAGGACTTGCGGGACAAGGCTGCCGAGCTTTGTTGGTCACCCTGACTTGCTGCTGCATCAGCTGAGTAGCCATGGCTCACTGGTACTACTAGCTAAACAAGCCCCAATCCAGAATGAGGCTGGTAGCAAGCGAGGGCCTGCTTGGGGACACAAACGAATGGGGGCCCTTAGGAGACCCATTGTCAGAGATTGCCAGTAAGGCTCGGAATTGGGATGATGTGGAAAAATGCTAATCTGTCATCAGTTTCAGCGACTTGAATCTCTAAGGAAATCAAACTCTGTTGGGATGATGCTTTTGGCTATGTATTTTTTTTTCTATTTTAAGATTATTCACTTAGTTATTTACATGATTTAGGATTTTATGTCCAATAAAAATGGCTATCTCCAGAAAAACTGTCTGCCTTCATCTTTCAAAAAAGACAGGTCCTTGCATTGTTGTTAAGGGAAATAAGTGCTTCCTACAGTTTATAATCTAGTACTCATTACTTTTTTCCCCAAGCTACGATTTCAGAGATCTTCTGCAACAATTACATATTTTCAAAAAAAAAAAAAAAAGGGGATCCATGATAACTTACAAATAATATTACTTGGTTAAGTTATAAAAAAAACCTAAGAGGTCTCAAGAATACTATATAAAAGTAAAATGTGCCACGATATTACCTTATTAAATAGCAGCCAAGAAAGTCCCAATCTAGCCAACCTACTGAAATTAAAACGCACACAATACAAATTGTGCATGTGCATTCAAAGAAAAGTCAACAGATCTAAATGAAGACAAATGTACAAAGTACTCAAGGTTAAAACATTAGTTTTAGTTTGCAATGGTAAGTTAAAATGAAAATACAACATAAAAATAATGACTGAATGACAACTACATATGTGAAGCACTAAAACTAAAAGGTAGAAGTTGACAGAACATGGGATCTACCTTCAAAGGATTTATAATCAAAGGAGATGACAAAACAGACTGATGATGGAGTATAAACCTTCCACTTAAAGGCAGAGCCTATAAAAACCTATCTTTATACCTTATATAATTGACTAAAGTGAAACACTATGTCCAACTAGCAATAGCAGCTCTTTAGACCAAACAGTCCAACTAGCAATAGCAACTCTTTAGAGCAAACAAGAAGAATACAAATGTGGATTTCATGGGACAATCATAGTGAAGACATTTCAATTCTTCCTTAATAGAGTTTCTAGCTACAAACACTTTGAGTCTAAGTCTTTCCTCATATCTCCTCTCCACAAAGAAATGTGTAATAGCTATTCCTCACGTTGTCTAGTTGGGCACTGTCCAACGGAAATACAATGCAAGCCACATATTAAAGTTTCCTAGTAGCCACTAAAAATGAATAACTTTCATATATTATTTAACATATTCAAAATATTCAAAATATTACCAACTCAATATGTAATCATTATAAAATTGAGACGTTTCACATTTTTAAATTTTTTTAATGTTTTATTTCTGATTTATTAATGATTTATTCTGATATGTGTGTGTGTGTGTGTGTATATATATATGAAAAAGAGAGAGGGAGCGGGAAAGGGAGGGAGGGGGAAGGCACGAGCAGGAGAGGGACAGAGAGACACACAGAATCCAAAGCAGGCTCTAGTCTCTGAGCTGTCAGCACAGAGCCTGATCTGATGCAGGGCTTGAACTCACAAACTGAGAAATCATGACCGGAGTCAACATTTTTTTTTTTTTTTTTTTTTTTTACTAAGTCTTTGACATCAGTGTGTATTTTATACTAGCTGCACATCTCAATTCAGATTAGCCATACGTCAGTTGCTCACCACTCATCTGTGGCTAGTAGTTACTATACTATACAGCACAAGTCTAGACATATTCATGAAATTAAAAATACTAACATTAAAAATTGGAGTCAAAAGATCTAAAAACCAAGAGGGCACCAGACTGGCTCAGTCGGTAGAGCATGTGACCCTTAATCTCAGGGTTCTGAGTTCAAATCTCATGTTGGGTGTGAAGATTACTTAAAATCTTTAAAAACAAAATACCTAAAGACTGTGAAAGTGTACTTTATTTCCTTAATCCAGCAGTTCTCCAAGTTTTACATGCCCACGATCTTTCTGAGGCGTCTAAGAAGTCCTTTCCTTTCAACTACCTGCAGAAGGCTGGATTTTCTTCACCAACTTCAAATGACATATCATAACAGACTGAATACAGCAATTCATATGAAAATCCACCTGCTTTATTAAACCAGAAAGCACAGAGATAAGCAAAAGTGTTACACAATGCTGCTTTTCTCACTCAGTTTTTTTGTTTTTGTTTTGTTTTTTGTTTTTTTTTTTTGCTTATTTTGAAAATAACTAGTTTGGGAAACTAGTTATTTTTCATCGTTAGCACTTTGAAGTAGACCCTATGCTCTCTCAACCACCACCTGTTCCAATGCTTCACATACGGAGTTGCCTCTCATTTTATGTCATTTTAGATTTCTGCCCTGATTTAATTTTGTGATGTCAATACACAAGTTCACTGAATTTTTAAATGAATAAATATTTTAAGTCTTCTCTTCTAATTTCTAATAAGGCAAATATTGACAGCTATAACTCACATAAACAAACGTCCATTTTAATTATTAAGAGGCTAAAGAGATCTCAAGACCAAAAAACTTGAGAATGACCATCCTAATCCATCACACAGCTCCTGGAAAATAGGAGGAAGAAATGCAAAGATGTCAGTCTCAACACTTTCACACGTCTCTATAAATTCCAGAAAATGATTCATTCTATCATTAATGCTGATTTTGTAATTGGCTTATATGAACCAAAAAATCAAATTAATCATGCATAGTTCACATATAGTAACTTTTTTTTTTAATGTTTTATTTATTTCTAGGAGAGAGAGAGAGAGAGAGACAGCGTAAGCAGGGGAGGGTCAGAGAGAGAGGGAGTCACAGACTCTGAAACAGGCTCCAGGCTCTGAGCTGGCAGTCAGCATAGAGCCCGACGCGGGGCTCGAACCCACGAACCGTGAGATCACGACCTAAGCAAAAGTCGGACGCTCAACCGACTAAGCCACCCAGGCGCCCCATACATATAGTAACTTTTAGACGTTACTACATTACACACAAGGCCTTCAAAACACAGACTTATAGTTAACTATAAGTTAACCAATCATCAAGAGATTTTTATGTTTTCAGAAGACATGGAGGAGTTCCATAAGCATATTTTTTATCATTATTTTCCAAAAGAAATTCATAAAGAGTATTCAATCTTTTTGCCACTATAATGATTGCAAATTATATAGATTTTTAAGGAATGTAGTGCTCTCTACATTTTGGCAATATGCCCCAGCAGAAGATGGTAACATTCCCATTTAGGACGAAACATACAGGGAAGGGTATTTTAACCGCTGAGAACAAAATGCAACAGCAGAAACGAAGAAAGTACTGTGTCCGTATCCTGGCAACCTGTTGTTTTGTTCACTGGACCAACTGACAGATGTGAATAGTGAGAGAGCAGAGAAGTATTATAAAAATGCAAATTCTGAACTGATGTGAAAACATAACCATTATCTCCAAAACCCGCGATGGCCCTCAGAATACACAAAGTTCCCAGGATCAAAACCAAAACGTTAGCTGTGGACCCCAAATTAGCTCAAATCCCAATTTACACTGTAAGGAAGCATGGAGAATTTTCAAATGTATATTTGCTTCTATTTTGTAAAAGACTAAAGTATACCATGAACATTGCAAATTCAAAATTTCGAGAAATAATATGTTTTGAGATACTGTCAAAAACCCAAACAATTCCTTCATGTTAACCAAAGAACTGTAGTCAAATAACAACTGATCTTTTAAAACTGACTCTTGATGAGATTTTAAATTTAAAAAAAGAAAGAAACAAAAAGGGAAGGAGAAACGTCTTCCGAAAACTTACTTCTCATATTAACATCTATAGGATTTACACTCGCAGCGTGAACTTTGATAATAACTTCATTTGGATAGTGTATGATAGGTATCATCATGTTCTGAGTAAACCGAAGCACCTCGTTCTTTCCGTATTTATCTATCACCCAAGCAGGCATGACAGTGCTCCTTGGAGAGGTAGTACTAATCTTTCTAACTGAAAGCTTTTGTACAGGGTGGCTTCTCCAGAAGCAAACTGCAGTACATGCATTTCTTCTAAGTACACAGGTCTTAAGCAGAAGTTCCATTGTCAACAGCAGTCTAATTGTGCGCCCTAATTAAAATGTATTTAAATTGGCTCAAACTCTACCCCCTGAATTAGGTCAAATTCTGCCAAACACCCTGGCTGATTTCAAAGTTGAGAATTCAAATAGAAGTCAGCCTTCTTAATGGAGCAATTGAAGGAAGAATATGGAATTATTCTACTCTTCCCATCTGAAAATCTCCAATTAACGTTCCAGTCAATATTCTGTCCATTCTCCTCCCTCCTTACACCCTTTGAGAAACAAAACCAAAACCCTAGAAGTCAGCCCTGTCCCAGGGGGCCCCGGCAGGCCAAGCCAACCCCGCTCGCTACAGAGAATCTGAGCATCCCCGACTCCCTCCGCGACCCTAGCCCGGAATCTCCTTACGACCCTCTCTCCTTCGCCGCAGGAGTTGCTTTGCGGCGCCAACCAATCACGTGCAAAGATCATTTTCCTGGGCTCCAATTCGACCAATCCAAGTACTGCATGTTGGAAAGTTCAGTGACGGCCAAAGATGGCTGCGCCCATGTAATACCGGCGCGGGTGTTGACCTTTTTTACTCCTCCTTGTCACCTGGTCCCTGTGGTGGCAGGCGGGGCACGAGGACCATGCTGGGCCGGACCCTCCGAGAAGTGAGTGGAACTGGCTGCTGAGGGCGCAGGGAGGTCAGAAAGATTCGCGGAATCCGTGGACAAGGAGCCCCCGGTCTGACCACGCATCTTGGTCAGCCTCGCGGTCTCCTTTCCTGGAACTGGGTGGGGGCTTCCGACCTTTGAGTCACTCAGCTGTACTCTCCATACCCGTTCTGGAGTTATGATCTCAGCAGGGGAGACTTAACGCAGCCTGGAGCGGTGCGGTGGACGTGTTGTACCCCGGCTTCTTTCATCTAGACGTTTGCTAAAAGCTTGGGTCAGGCCCCTAGTGGATGGTCTGTCAGAATGGCTCAGCCGGTCCACTTCAGTCTCTCTTCCGCCCCCGACACGCATCTAATGCGGTTCTCGCATAAGAGGCCTCTGACATCTGTACTTTGCAAAAGACAAACGAGTAATTTTTAGCTCTCTCCCACCACCTCCTGCTTCCTTGATATATTCTCTAGGGTTCAACTATCAGTAAGATACCAGTGATTCTCTCACCCGTGTCTTCAATTTCCTGGACCTCAGTTTTATACTCTAGGCTATGTTTGTAAATCCCTTCCGGACATTTCTTCAAAATGCCCCATAACAACCTCAACTTACTTTAAGGAGAGTTGATTTCGTCGTTGTAACGGGACCACTTCTTACCTCTCAACCTCCGCCTTAAAAAACAAATCAAAACCTGATTTATTAATTCCTAATATTCTCTTTGTAATGGCACAACTGTTATCCCAGTGGCCCTTACATTCTTCCCCATCTGTTATATCCAATAAATCACTAAGCCCCGTTAATTGTATCTTGAATTTATGTCTGGAACCTGGTTGGTGTTTTGTTTTGTTGTTTACTCTCTGCTGTTAAGGCTTCAGTTCAGGTCTCCTTGCTTTCTGGCCCATCTCTCTCAACCTTGGGAACTGACTGCAGGCCCACTCATATAAGAGTCATGGCAGGCTCTTGTTAGAACCACAGCTGTGTGCCACTCGGGGAGCTCTGTGATTTGAGGCTCAGAGTATATGGTTTAACAGGGCTCCAGGTGATTCTGCTAATAAGTAGGGGGTGAGGACCTACCCTGCCTTCCATTTTCCTGTTGTATTTTCACCTGAGAAATCTTTTTTATCCGTCTATCTGGTAGCCTTTTAGAAAGCTATAAATTATAATAACAAAATTGACGGGCATTAAATAATAAATAGCCCTTACCCAAAGGGTGTTTTATCATCTTACATTGCATGTGGTCTGTACTATATATTTCTGTACAGAGGTGCCTGGGTGGCTTAGTTAAGAATCCGACTTCAGTTCAGGTCATAATCTTGAAGCTTGTGAGTTTAGGCCTTGAATGGGGCTCTCTGCCCTCCCCCCCTCAAAAAATAAACATTAAAAATTAAAAAAATAAAATTAAAAAATATTATTTGGTATTTTCCCAACCCCAAAAATATCTTCTGTCCACTCCGTATTTTTTCCATATCATTGTACTGCTGTCCCAAATTCTACCAATTAGAGATTAATTATTTACACATTCTCTTTTAAATATATAAAGACACCTGGGAGGGTCGAATGATTTATTCACCCATTGTTGTGAGTTACAGTAGTTCAGTAAAATTTTTTCCATCACATAGTTGCAATAATCAATTGAAGAAAGGGAAAATTTGCTGGGAAGGAAATTCAGCAGAGGAGCTGGAAACTATAGTAGAGTTTTGAGGCAATGTTGGGGACCTAAGTAAGGCTTAGAGTAACAGGAGCCCTGAGGGGAGGCACTCAAAGGAGGTAACACGCCAAACAGGAGATAAAACTATTTGTAAGTTTTATGTGAGTATATTCAGAAAAGAGGAGTCCCACTTTTTACCTTCCTCCTTTGTGGCATGATCTCAGTATGCATGACCCCAGTGTTTCTAGGAGCCAGACACCAGGCTAATATTATTAATCCTAAAGTTATTAATTATATATTCAAGAGGCTTCTTGGTGGTCTACCTAAGAACACTTAATTGTTCTATGGGAAAACAGATTCCAAATTTTAGGCTTCTGGAACACATTTAGGCCATGGAAAGCTCCTAAAGACTATTCCTAAAGATATGGTTTATAGGAAAGACAATGAGGAAGCAGGAAGACCAGTTAGGAGGCTGTTGCATTTGCAAGAGATGATGGCAGCACAGATGGGGTGGCTGTGGAGGTAATGTGAAACAGGTATTGTTCTTTCAGTTAGGGTTTGCTGATGGACTGGATACAGAGTTTGAGGGAAACAGGAGGATGCTTAGATTTTTGGCCTGGGCAGTTGGGAAAATGGTAACATCAAGATGGGAAAGATTTAGGGGCACCTGGGTGCGTCCAACCTGAGCTTCCAGCTTTGGCTCAGGTCATGATTTCGCAGTTCATGAGTTCGAGCCCCATGTCAGGCTCTGTGCTGACAGCTCAGAGTCTGGAACCTGCTTCAGATTCTGTCTCCCTCTCTCTTTTCCCCTTCCACGCTCATGCTCTGTCTCCCACTTCTAAAAAATGGGAAAGACTTTTTCCCACTTTTTTTTGAGGTATAGTTGACCTATCACATTATATTTGTTGCAGGTGTACAACATAATTTGGTATTTGTATACACTGCAAATTGATCACAATAAGTCTAGTTTTTCTGTCACCATTTAAAGTTACATAATATGCAGTACAGTATTGTTGACTGTAGTCACCATGCTGTACATTATATCCCCATGCATTTATTTTATAACGAAGTTTACCTCTTGACCCCCTTCTCCCATTTTGCCTGTCCCCCAACCCCTTCCTCCCTGGCATCCATCAGTCTGTTCTCTGCATCTATGAGTTTTGTTTTGCTTTTTAGATGCCACATACAAGTGAAATCATACAGTATTTGTCTCTGTTGTCACAAATGGCAAGACTTTGTTTTTTATGGGTAACTAATATTAGCCATATATTAGGTATAGATTATATGAAAAAAATATATATCTATGTGCCACATCTCCTTTATCCATTCATTCATCAATGGACACCTTGGTTCCTTGATTGCTTCCATATTTTGGCTATTGTGAATAATGTTGCAGTGAACATAAGGGTGCATATATCTTTTCAAATTAGTGTTTTCGTTTCTTTGGATAAATACCCAGAGGCAGAATTGCTGGATCATATATGAGACTTCTATTTTTAGCTTTTCGAGGACCCCTCCCCCCCCAACCCCCCAGGAAAGACTCTTAGGAAGTGTATTTGGAAGGAGAAAGTTATCAAGACTTCTGTTCTGGGCATGTTAATTTGAATATGCCTGTTGGATATCCAAGTGAAGATGTCTGTTAAGCAGGTGGATATAGGAGTTTGGAGATCAGGAAAGCAGGTAGCTATGAGGATATAAATTGGCCAGAGTATAGAAGATAAAGTATGTGGACAGATAAGAACACCCAGGGAGCTGAGCACAAAAAAATAGAAGAAGGCCTAAAACTTTCCAACATTTAGAGGCCAGTAATAGGAAGCAGAGCCAGCAAAAGAGATATGAAGGGATGGTAGGTAAGGCAAGAGGAAAACCAAATCTTAGTGTCCTGAAACACAAGCATAAAGGCTTCAAGAAGGAAGTGCTCTCTTAAATGTAATGCTGCTGAGAAGTACTGTATCAGATTAGGACTGAGCAATGACTGCTGGATTTAGGCATGTGGACGGTGTGCTAGTGATCTTGATGCGAGTTCGTGGAACATTGGAGACAAAAGCGTGAATGGAATGTGTTTAATGGGTACCAGTCAACTGGACACACAGGCCTCAAGGGCTCTCCTCTACCTTCAGCATTTATCAAGACAAAAAGACGGCTCTTTTCCTAAGTGAACTTCTGATGCTATCTGTAAAGTAAATAGTATAGTGGTACTGAGTGTGGGCTTTGGAAACAACAGGCCTTGGTTGAATCCCAGCTCTACTTTCTAGCTTTGTGACCTCAAGCAGAAACCTTAGTTTTTTATCTGTAAAATGGAGATAATAATATCGGCCCCTCAGAGTGGATATAAAGATTAGATGAAATATAAAGCATTGGTGGGTGGGAGGATATGGGAAATAGGTGATGGGAATTAAGGAGTGCTCTTGCTATGATGAGCACCTGGTGATGTATGGAATTGTTGAATCCCTATATTGTACATCTGAAACTAATAATACAATGTATGTTAACTATACTGGAATTAAAATTAAATTAAAATTGGGGCACCTGGGTAGCTCAGTCAGTTAAGCTTCTGACTTTGCCTCAGGCCATAATCTTGCAGTTTGTGAGTTCCAGCCCTGCCTCGGGCTCTGTGCTGACAGCCTGGAACCTGCTTCAGATTCTGTGTCTCTCTCTTTCTCCCTATTCACGCTCGCTCATTCTCTCTCTCTCTTTAAAAAAATGAAAATTAAAATTAAATTTTAGCTTTAAAAACTATGTCTTTTTTTAAAGTTTATTTTGAGACAGAGAAAGGGGATGAGCATGACCGAGGGAGGGACAGAAAGAGAGAATCCCAAGCAGAATCTCTGCACTTCCAGCGCATGATCTCCCAAACCATGAGTTCATGACCTGAGCCCAAACTGAGTTGGAACTTAACTGACTGAGCCACCTAGGTGCCTCTAAAAAAATAAATCTAAAAAACAAAAAGAGAGAGAAAGAGATATAAAGCATCTAGGGTGATGCCTTGAACTAAGTGCTATTGTTAACATTAATTTTGTTACAGGGACAAATTTACTAAATTATATGTATATACAATGATCTCTCCCCCTAGTTTCTAGGAAGATTTCTTAGTTTTTCTATGAAGGTGTATTAATATTTATTTTTTTTTTACAAATAGTTTATTGTCAAATTAGTTTCCACATAACACCCAGTGCTCATCCGCTCAAGTGCCCTCCTCCATGACCATCCCCCCTCCCCCCCACATCCATCAGTCCTCAGTTTTTGTCAGCATTCAAGAGTCTCTCATGGTTTGCCTCTCTCCCTTTCCCCCACCATTTCCCCCCTTCTTCTCCCCCTTGTTCCTCAGTTCAGTTCCTCCTAATCCTCCTATACTGCAAAC